CTGTTTGAAGAAGGCAGGAACGCCAAGTGTGTATCCCTGCTCACTGCCTCTGTCAGCCTGGAGGAGGGGCAAGAGCCAGGACTCCCACTTGCCCAGGTTTGTTCCACAGACCCAGCAGAACATGGAAATATGTTGCTCCCAAATGGATCTTGCTTTTTGCAGAAATAGAACTGTGCTCGCTAATTGAGACAATGTTGAATAGAGTGAATTGTTGCTGAAACTCTATAGTTAGGGCATGTAGGCTTTTCATGTATAGATGTGTAAAACTTAAAAAATATTATTAGTGCACCCAGCTGGTGTGGCTCAGTGGTTGAGCGTCAACTTATGAACCAAGAGGTCACTGGTTCCATTCCTGGTCAGGGTACATTCCCAGCTTGCAGGCTCAATCCCCAGTAGGGGGCATGCAGGAGACAGCCAATTGATGATGTCTCTCTCTCATCGATGTTTCTATCTCTCTGTCCCTCTCCCTTCCTCTCTCCCTAAAGAGTTTAATTAAAACTTATTAAAATATTCTAATATATAAAAAATATATAAAAAGCCAGAGGCCGTCACGACCAAAACAACCGGACAGATGACCGAACAGCAGGCTGCATGGGGCGACCAGGCCGGCCGTGGGGGCAGTTAGGGGCAACCAGGCTGGCAGGGGGGAGGGGAGTTGGGGGTGACCAGGCTGGCATGGGGGGGCAGTAAGGGGTGACCAGGTTGGCAGGGGGGGGCACAGTTAGGGGTGACCAGGTTGGCAGGGGGGGCAGTTAGGGGCAACCAGGCCAGCAGAGATGGGCGGTTGGGGCGACCAGGCCAGCAGGGGGGGCAGTAAGGGATGACCAGGTCGGTGGGGGGGGCAGTTAGGGGCGACCAGGCCAGCAGGGGGGGCAGTTGGGGGCAACCAGGTCGGCAGGGGGCGCAATTAGGGGCGATCAGGCAGGCAGGCAGCTGAGCAGTTAGGAGCCAGTGGTCCCTGATTGTGAGAGGGATGTCCAACTGCTGGTTTAGGCCCTATCCCCGGGATCAGGCCTAAACCGGCAGTCAGACATCCTCTGAGGGTTCCCGGATTGGAGAGGGTACAGGCTGGGCTTAGGGGTCCCCCCGCCCCCTGTGCACAAATTTCGTGCACCAGGCCTCTAGTTATTAATATAATGACATCAGGCTCTATATTTTGGACTCTGTATGTTGTCTTTGTCCATTTTAAAAAATGTATAGCTTTATCGAGATATATACTTGTAAAGTATACAATTCAGTAGTTTTTAGTATGTTCAGAGTTGTGCAGCAAATACCGCTATTCAAAGTTAGAATGTTTCCATCACCTCCAAAGGGAACTCTACACCCATTAACAGCCACCCTCCCCCAGGTCCCTCTTCCCTGTCAGCAACTACTCATCTTTGTGTGGATCTGCCTCTCTGGACACTTGTGTCATGGCATCATACGACATGTGGTACTTTGTGGTCTGACTTCTTTACTAAGATTTCAGAGTTCATGCAGGTTGCAGGATGTGTCCGTGCTTGTTCCTTGTTGTAACTAAACGATAGTCCATCTTAGGGATTTGCCATATTTTGTTTATTCATTCATCAGGTGGTGGGTATTTGAGTTGTTGGGCTATTCTGAATAACGCTGCTATGAATATTCACGAATAGGATTTTTACTTCTCTTGGGTAGTAAAATTACTGAGTCATATTGTAACTCTATGTTTTACCTTTTGAAAAACTGCTGTACTGTTTCCAAAGTAGCTGCACCATTTTATTTTCCTACCCACAGGGTATGAGGGTTCCAGTTTCTCCCCATCCTTGCCAACACTTACTATTATCTGTGTTTTTGGTTTTAGCCATGCTAGTGGGTATGGAGTTCTTATCTTATTGTGGCTTTCATTTGCATTTCCCTAAGGTGTTGATTATCTTTTCATGTGTTCACTGGCCATTTGTATGTCTTTGGAGAAATGTCTGTTCACTTTGGCTTTACCCATTTTTGGAATCAATAGCATGCTAGTATTATGATACTAGCTTTGCAATTTGCCCTCTTCCATTTTCTTGATCAATTTACATACGAAGAAATTATCTGTTGCTGATTTGGTAAATTTGGTAAAAAAAAAAAAAAATACAGTATAAAACCATCTGGAGTGTAGGGATGAGAAAGGTCTTTGATTCCTATTCCAATTTTGTAATGTATGTTGGATGACTCAAATTTTCAGTGCCCTTTCCACCAATTTTAGCGTTTTGTATTTTCCCGGAAATGTACATACTACACATGCTGCTTTATAACCCTGTTTTCTTAGTTGCACGTTTCTCCCCTTGATTCAGCTATGTGTACGTGCGTATGTTTGGACAGCCCTGCTGTGGAGATGGTTTTCTGTTTTCCTGTTATAAACAGTGGGACTGTTGCTTGGGTTCCACCTCCGCCGGGGACAAACCACCCACAACACAGTGGCTGAAACAACAGTTATTTTATTGCTCAGGAATTCGGGCAGAGCTCAGCCGGGCGGTTCTACTCTAGTGTCTGCTGCGTCACTGACGAAGCGGGGAGCTTGGCTGGGCTGGGACGCCCACAGTGGCACCCCATCCAGCGGCCGGTTCCTCCCATAGACCTTCCTCCTCCACGGCCTCCGACCCCCTCCCCCTCCTAGGACCTGTCTCTTCAGCCGGATAGTCAGATTTCTTGATCTAGCAGCCGGCTTCCCAGAGAGAGCTGCTACGCCTCTTCCATTCCAGCCCTGGACCTGGCGGGCCTCCCTTCCACTGGTCCTGTATGGGCAGCCCAGACCGCAGAGGAGGGGCAAATGGCACCCATTTGTGGTAGAGCTGCCTGTGGTGTGGTGGTAGGAGGAACTGTTAGTGGTCACACTTGCAGAAGCTCTGCAACTGTGAACATGCGGATGCACTTGTCTGATGAGTGTTGGAGTCAAGTGACCATCCTTGAATGGCCGTATGGTCTGCATGGATCTTTAGAGGTCACTTAACGCCTGGGCCAAGGCAGAGAGAGCCCCCAGAATTCCCTGAGTCTCTCGGGGAATGACTGGTAGTAACTGTAGAGGTGCCCCAGGATCTTGGCAGCTTGTCCCACGCTGGTCTTCACTGGGCTCTTAGCAGTCTCTGAGGACGGTGGTGTGACCCTCACTTGACGGGGGAGGAAACTGAGGCTCAGGAGTTAGCTGGCCTGACCCACTTGCCTTCTCCACTCCCCACCACCTCGATCTTCCCCATGCAGTACTGTGATAATAACATGCACCATGTGGGACTCAACAGCTTCCAGAGCCTCTTGTCCCCAGGTGAGAGAGTGCTTCCAGGAGGTGATGGCTTCAGGGCTCGAGTGTGAGGTCAGTGATACGGTCTATCAATGTGGGCTATAGGCTTCGCCTCGGAGCCTCACTTTGCTCATTTGTAAAATGGGAACAATAATCTTACTGTTGGGGAGAGACCGAGGCCGGAGCAAGGAAGGCCCCTAGAATTTCCCCAGCGGGAGAGAGAGAGGACGCACCTGGTTTCCTCGGGGCCCTTCACCCAAGCCTCTCCCACCTGTGCTCTCAGCGGGGCTGGGGCGGGGAGGCCATATGTTCAAGGTACATAACTGTGTCTCAAAGGGCTTGTGGGTCCTCCTGGGTGCGAGAGCCACTGTGCTCTAATGAGATGCTCCAGGTGGCAGCGAGGAATTCCCACTTCCCACCTGTCCGCCCGGACTCGGCTGCCCAGCTGTTGCACGTGGTCGTGCTCCTGTGGGCTGACTCATGCCTGGCCTTCCCTCCACCAGCAGAGCCTAGGCTAGTGTCTCACTCTTCCCACCTGCACAGGCTCTTCTGTCCCCACCCGAAGTCAGGCTCTTCCCAGTGTACCTGGGACAAAGTGCAGAGTGTGGCCGGAGGAGGGAGCTGAGCGCTCCCATGGCGTCAGGGCGAGTCAGCGCTGGCCGGCAGCACAGGCCCTCGGGGTCCTGCCAGCAACAGGAGAAGCTGTCGCTTGGCGAGGCCTGCACTCATCGAAGGCCCAGTTCCATCCCTTAAGTCACCATTTGTTCTCCTCGCCATAAGGGCCCATCCCGATAGCTGGTCACATTTTCCTACAAAGAGCAATTCTCTAGCACAATTGCCACCCAGACCTGTGACTTCCGTGCTGTGGTGCGGGGGTTCCCACAGGGCCCTGGGAGCCTGCCGTAGGCGGGGAATTGTTTTAGTTCAGAGTGGTTTTCTTCTCTCATGGAGTTGTTGACGTCCCTCAAAGGACTCAAAACATTGAAACTTTGAATCTTTATAATTAAAAAGAGATGATACTTTACATACTCGAATCTTACTATCTAGGAATGTAAAATCCATCCACCCACCCACCCATCTATCCGTCCACACATCCATCCTCCGTCCCCTACAAGGCCATTGTGATCTTACCCATTTGGTTACTGCAACATGAGGAAGAGAGAATGAAAGGGCCTCACCTCCTAACACCTGGTGGCTCCTGAAGATGCTGCGTCGCCGGGAAATGAGGAGTGTCTACTGGAGTCCAATTGCCTGGGCTCGAGCCCCAACTTGGCGACTTCCTGGCTAAGTGACCTGGGCGAGTCATGGTGTTACCATGTGTTCAATGGAGTTGATAATGTCCCTAGGACTCAGGGTTGGGAGAACTGGATGAGACAATGTGTGTAAAACCCTCGGGACAGTGCCTGGCAAAGGGGAAGTCACCCAGCAAATGTGAACTTCATGTTGTCCCTGAGACGCCCAGCGACATGGGGGTGGTGTCATTTCTGCCTTGCTGGGCTGCCCCACTGGCATCCCTCTAACAACTGGGAAGGGCGAGCTTGGCTCCCAGCACCCTGTCTCCTGTGGGCCTCTCTTCACACCTCTCTCGCACCCCCTTTTCCCACCACGGCTACGAAGGGGTCTCTATGCATGGACCTCGGTCTGATGCACCCACTTTTGGGACACAACAGACGTCCTCCCGCCTCCCTCTCCCCACACAGTCCTCTTCCCCATCGGTGTCTGGCTGGGCCACCGGGTGGCTGAGCCTGCGTCTCCTCCTCTCTCGCAGGGAGTCCGACCTGTTCCTGCTTGACAGCCGCACCCTCTGGGCGTCGGAGGAGGGCTGGCTGGTGTTTGACATCACGGCCACCAGCAACCACTGGGTGGTCAACCCTCGGCACAACCTGGGCCTGCAGCTCTCCGTGGAGACCTTGGATGGTGAGTCGCAGCCACCGCCCGGGTGGTCCTGATGCAGCCCGTACGGCGGGACTGACGGAGGCTCTCCGCCAAGCCCGTGCTTGTCCTCAAGGGAGCTTCGCTGCCCCCTCCCCACCAGTCCTCAGTGTCCAGCCGGTCCGTCCCGACAGGAAGCAGCTGCTAGCCCCTGTGCGCGAGATGAGCACACAGCGGCTGCTGCCGGGCTGGGCCAGGCTCTGCTCTGAGTGCGGGCCACAGCAGCGGGGTCGGAGCCACAGACTCCCGGCCCGTCCCAGGGCCGCTGCATCCAGACCCATACCTTGACAAGCGCCCCGGGAGCTGGCTGAGCACCTCGTCTGCAACGCCTGGCCCTACCCACCCAATGCTCATAGCCCCTCCCAGTTGTGACATCCAAAAATGTCTCCAGACATTTTCAAATGTCCCCTGCTGAGCACAGTTGCCCCTAGTAAGGACCACTGCCCAGGGTGGTGCAAGGCATTAAGCCCCTTCCAAGAAACCCTAACCCTGGTCATAGACATTCGGAGGACCCGCTGTTGGCCTGCCCGTCCCCCAGCACCTTTCACTGCCCCCCTCCCCCCACTTGTTCTCCAAGGTGGGCAGACAGGAAGGCATGTGGGGAGCTAGGGTGGGCCTAACAGTGCCCATTTCTTCTTCCCCCAAAGTGTGTTTCTTTTTTTTTGATAAATTTTTATTGATTTCAGAGAAGGGAGAGAGAGAGAGAGAAACATCAATGATGAGAGAGAATCATTAATCGGCTGCCTCCTGCATGTCCCCCAGTGGGGATCGAGCCCATAGCCGGGGCATGTGCCCCAACTGGGAATTGAACCGTGACCTTCTGGTTCATAGGTTGGTGCTCAACCACTGAGCCACGTCAGCCAGGCCACAGTGTATTTCTTATTAAGTGGAGATGGTTTTGGGGTGTTGCAGCTTCTTCCTGCACCAGTTTTAAGAAAAACCAAAACCATTTATTGTAAAATAGGTAATACGTGCCCATGGCTCAGACTTCAGAGGTTGCAGGTGTGTGCACAGGGAAGCGTCCCCTGGGCTGCCTCCCCCACTGCCCACTTCCCCTCCCAGAGGCCCCTGCTGCTCTCCTGCGATTGGATCTCTCTCCAGAGATGCTGCCCGGGTACCTAAGAATTACACGTGGATTCTGCTCTCCTTTTCCATTTTCCTCCCACTAAACGTGGCAGTGCTCAGTGTCTTCACCTTGCCCGTTTCACAGCTTCTCTTGGAGGTTGGTCCTTCCAGTGACCGGAGAGCTCCCTCGGATTTCGAAGGCGGTGGTGTGTTTGTGTGTATGTGGCGTGAGTGTGTCTCTGCCTCTCACACGCGTGACTGCTTCAGAGCCTCAGCTCCTCCCCACAGCGTGCCGGCAACGGGAGGGCCTGGGCCACTGGATTGTTCCCAGATTAATTGAGTTCATGTAGAAAGGGTTTTAAGATGTGCCTTCACATGCATCGGAACCCTGGGCCTCTTGTTACAATGCACACTCTCATTCAGCAGCGGGGCGGACCTGGGAACCTGCATTTCCAACCGGCCCCCAGACCATGGGGGCTGCTGGTCCCTGGGCGGGGTGGTGAGTATGGAGGGCTGAGAACAGGACCTGGCTCCCAGGACACACCCAGGATGAGAGCTGGTGTTATCACTGTTGTCACTGCTACCGAAAGTCTTGCCCAGCCCCCTGGGAGGGATGTCTGGGTGTTTTCTGGTCTTTTGCTCCGACAAACGGGGCTGCAGTGGAAAACCTCAGTGTAAATGCCATGGTCCCCGAGTGAATGCAGCTCGAGGACCAGTGCCTGACAGTGACCCTGTGTGTGGATTTGAGAGAGAGTGTTAATTTGCCCTTCATGGGTCATTCCATCGGCACCCCAGCAGCGGTTCACGAGGGCACCTGCTTCCGCGTCTTTGTCAGCACAAGTTCTCAGACTCCTCCCTCCCTGCTAATCCAACGGATGACGGACAGGATCCTGGAGTTTGCTTAGCCATCCTCTGCGGTGTGCCTGGCCTTCCCTCTGCCGTGTGCCTGGCCCTCCCTCTGAAGTGCCCTGCTCACACCCTCTGCCCACTGTGTTTGTCAGGCCTTGGTCTTTCTCCTCTTTATGTTTGAGTCGTTTGGCCCTTTGTGGTTTGAGCTGCAAATGGTTTCCCAGTTTGTAGCTTTTCTTCTGACTGTGGTGAATGCTGGGTATTGCTGAGTGGATTTAGACAACGTAGCTGAATTTGATAAGCGTGTCCTTTATCAATCCCTAGGCCGCCTCTTGGGCCTGGAGCTGCCCCCTCTGCCTCAGCTTCAGGAAACCAGTCCCTCTCCTAAGGCCATGAGCCCAGGGAGGGGCCACAGAGTTTAGGACCACTCACTCCTGTTTTGTTTCCAGGCTCTTCCTTCTACTGATGGTCCCCGACCTTTCTGGCCCTCCTCCCACTGTCCACACCTGACACGTAAAAGTGGGTCCTCCCAGGCACTGGGTTTTCCATCCTTTTGCATGGGGTCAGCTCACGGTCCGCTGGGTCAGGTGCAGCCTGTGGCTTGTTTCTGTGTGGCCCGTGAGCTAAGAGTAGCCCCCGCCTTTTTAAATGGTTGAGAAAAATCAAAAGAAGGCTATTTGGTGACATTTATGTAAAATTATGTGAGACTTCTACCGCAGTGTCCATGAGCCACGCTTTGTTAGCACACAGCCACACCTTGGTTTGGGTGCAGTCTGGGGTCGCTTCTGTGCCCACACAGCAGAGTAGAGTCGTTAGAACAGAGAGTCTACGGCACAGAAAGCTGAAAATGTTTATTTTCAGAAATATAACCGAAAAAGTTTCCAACCCCTGCTGAGGATCACAGTCAGGGAAGTGCGGACCTTCCAGATGAGGGACATGGAGTGGCTCACCCGGCTCACGTGGTAGAAACAGCAGAGCTGGGATTTGAACAAAACAGATTTCCCTGCACAACTTATCAGAGCTCTTACTCTGCTGATGTCCATTGTGCACCTCCTGCCGGGGAATACAGCACAGAGGAATGCCGCACTTCTTGGGCAATGAAATCATTCAACTTTGCTTTCTTCTTCCAAGCCTCTGTGGCACTTACTGGGGACGAGGTAAAGTGAGGCAAAGGTAGACTTGCTTTCTCTCTTCAGGGTGAGCATTTCCCTGGACTGTGGAGATTGGCGAGACCTTCCAGCTGCACCCCAGTGGTTCATGAGCTTCTAGGTTTGGTTTTTCTCCTGAGTGACACTCAGTTCAGTTCCCCTAGTGTCAGGGGTGCCATCCTCTTTCTCCCCGAGCCAGGGTCTCTGTGGCCCGTGCCCCCAGCCCTGCTCCCCCGTTGGCTGTGGAAGAGGCTCCGCACTGTCGAGGCGGCACAGCTGATGGTCAGAGTGTGGGCTCCAGAGCTGGTAGACTCCCCAGGTTCAAATCCCAGCTCTGCTGTTTCTACCACGTGACCCGGGTGAGTCACTCCATGTCCCTCATCTGGAAAGCGGGGTTCATAAGAGTTTCCGCCTCCCAGGTGGTTGTGGAGGATTAGGTGAGCTCATGCAGGTGCAGAGCTTCATTGCTCAACCTGTGGTCGCGCCTCTGCTCAGCACCAAGCAAGCGCTTTAGGCCACTCATTGTCTCCAGTCATCCTCGCCGTTCCCCAGGGGGCTGGGTGCTGCCACCACCACCCCATGGCAGTGCGGAGACTGACGCCCTAAGATGTGGCAGGCTCTCCATCCCAGCAGCTGCCCAGGGCCCCTCTCCACCCGGGGAATGTAGCCTAGTGGTCACAAGATGCTGCCTGCCGTCAGCAAGGATGAGATGCCCTGGTGCCCTGTCTCCTTCCCCCCAGATGGGCACTCAGGGGTGGGTATGGGTGCCGTCGCCCTGGGACCCGGCCGCTTAGTGTGGTTGCCTGGGTCAGGGAAGGGGCAGAGTTTACCAATGGGCCAGTTTGGCCAATTAGACATGTGAATTTCTGGATCTTTTGGGAGTGAGATAAGAAGCACGTGAGCCCAGCATTTCAAAGACCACAGGCGCCTGGCTGCGAGGTTCTTTTTTCCCCTGACATGGAATTTGCCCAGCACTAGGGGGGCACCGTGAATATACAGATTCCTGGGCTCCCCCCAGACCCCCCGGTGGCCAATCCCCGAGGGTGGGCCCGGGAATCTGCCTTTTCTCACAAGCTCCTTGGGTAACTTGGGGCCTGGGTCGGCAATAACACTGGAAAAGTTGTGCCCTGTGTTTTGGGATTCCCTCATTAATAAGATGTTACCCGGCCAATTGGCTTCCTTTACAATGTGGGTCTAAGCCTTTTCCTGTTAGATGTCTACACTGGGTCAGACCAGCAGGGTCTTCTGGGGAGACTGTGGATTCTGGAGTTCATTTGTTGGGCAGCCTGGTGCCCACCTACTGTGTGCCAGCCTGAATTGCCTGTAGAGACAGCCTGGTCCCTGCCCTGGGACTTCTCACCAGCATTAACATAACTCCATGAGCACCGCTGCCTGGGACAGCACCTGGACAGGCTGAGTCCCTGGGTGGTGGCACCCATGCCAGCTCCCAGTCCCCCATCAGGGACCGGAGGAGACGGGGCACTGAGTCAGGGGTATAGCATCTAATCCTTGTCCAGACCTAGACAGCATCCTGCAGCCACTAGGCAGCGGCTAGAATAGAGCCCCACCACCTATCAGGGCCTCAGTTTCCCCACCCGTACAATGGACATGTTAGTGACCGTGAGGCAGGCGAGCTTGTTTCCATCCTAAGGAGGCCCAACATCACAAACCTTTTCTCAGAAGCCTCATGTTTGGCACGAGGTGAGCCCATGGCCTCCACATGCGGCCTCGGACCACCCAGGCAGCCTGTGCCTGTTCCCTCTTCCTCCAGCCATGGTCCTCTTGTTAGTCACCCCTAGGAACGGTGCAGCTGGGCCCGCTCTGGCGGTGGGGGTGGGGGGAGACACGTGTGTGGGGGGAAGAAGCCCACAAACTCCCGGGCACCCGTGGCTCATGGAGAGCCAACTGGGAACGTCCGCTCAT